CACCTTCTGGAATAGAAAATCTATCATCAGCATCAGGCTACATGGAAAGTGACTGAGGATTTCAGATAATGGAGAAGAAGAAATTCACCTGCTGACAAGTTCATCCAAAATCTCATTCCCTGCCTACATAGGCTGCTGACCAGGGTAAGTGTATACACAAAGCTGAGCTTTCAAATAAATTCACCTTTTCTGTGAGGTCCCTGGTGCAACAAAACAGACTTGCTCAATTACAAGCAGCTTCAGCACTGGCTCAGCGTTTCAGCACAGCTCTCTCCTAAATATGTTCCCATTAAAATGGAAGCAAGCTTAAGTAATCAAAACAGAAAAGATGAATTAATAACCACTTTAATAACTGATTTGAAGGAGAAAATGAGTTAGCTCATCCACCAGGCTAAAAAGTAGCTGCACATCTCCTTATGGCTGAAAACTTTCAGCTCCCTAATGAGATAAACTGAAATTAGAGCTGAACTTCAACACCCAAAGCCCCTCAGAGCATCAGCTGTTATGCCATCAGATGTGTGTGTGCATAAACAACGAGCCAGGAGATTTGCTCCAGCCAAACAGCACAGAGGTCTGCATTTAATCAGGAGCAACCTAATGCTGATTCCATACAAAGAGCTCTTCTGCTCTTCTGGACTTTCTCCCCCCATGCTCCAGCACTGAGCAGCAGCGGTGGACAATCCAACACCTCCACAGCAGGAGGATTAAATGCTCCCACCTCTATCTGCAGCATCTCTGGAAGGCTGACACACATCAATCCTGGCTGTTCTCAGCACATCTTACTGGAGTCCCTCACCTGAGACACTGCTTTCCAGCACACAGCTCTGATTCACCCTGATGGCAATGTCCCTCACCTGAGACACTGCTTTCTACCACACATATCTGATTCACCCTGATGGCAATGTCCCACCTGAGACACTGCTTTCCAGCACACAGCTCTGATTCACCCTGATGGCAATGTCCCACCTGAGACACTGCTTTCCAGCACACATATCTGATTCACCCTGATGGCAATGTCCCACCTGAGACACTGCTTTCCATCAAACATCTTTGATTCACCCTGATGGCAATGTCCCACCTGAGACACTGCTTTCCAGCACACAGCTCTGATTCACCCTGATGTGTCCCCAGTGCACGAGCCTCCTGTTGCTGCTCTGGGCTCTGAGCAGGGCACAGGAGTGGCACTGTGCCATGTGGCTGCTCTGGGCTCTGAGCAGGGCACAGGAGTGGCACTGTGCCCTGTCACTGCTCTGGGCTCTGAGCAGGGCACAGGAGTGGCACTGTGCCGTGTTCCTGCTCTGGGCTCTGAGCAGGGCACAGGAGTGGCACTGTGCCGTGTTCCTGCTCTGGGCTCTGAGCAGGGCACAGGAGTGGCACTGTGCCCTGTGGCTGCTCTGGGCTCTGAGCAGGGCACAGGAGTGGCACTGTGCCCTGTGGCTGCTCTGGGCTCTGAGCAGGGCACAGGAGTGGCACTGTGCCCTGTGGCTGCTCTGGGCTCTGAGCAGGGCACAGGAGTGGCACTGTGCCATGTGTTCAGCATGTCCACAGGAGGAATCAGCCTGGCCCCGTGGTGGTGCAGAGCAGGCAGCCAGCACCACCACTGCCACCACTGACCTACTTTATACTGGGGAAGGGATTTCAGCAAGACTTTCCCCCCTCCCCTCAGAAGCAGCAGTTTCTGAGAGTCCTAAATTTAGCAAGGTTCTGAGGACAGCATTCATAATTTGTCAGCGCTGCTCCCTCCTCTGTGCAAGCTCTTATCACTTCCCCCCGAAACTCATCCTCCCTCTCTCTTTGACTGCCAGCAAAAAAATATGTCCCTTTCAACAAAGAGGAAACAAGAAGCTTCTCTTCCACAATCTTTCCTCATCAGGACAGCAGCACTCTGGACACTGCCAGAGCACATACATTTACTTTTTAATATCAGATGAGACAGCTTCTGAAAGCACTGCAAGTTCTCCCATCTGACATTAACCAGTTTACCACAGATAACAACCCTGAACTGGAAGCTTTCCCCTGCCAGAATGCCTAGCACATAAAATTATTAAAGGCTTAGAAATGGTTTCAGGGCTGCTCAAATGATGTGCTGCAGCAAAATCTGATTCCCATTAAAAAACCAAGAGCCATCAGGAGGAGACTCTAGTTTTCATCACTCTGAAAAAAAAAAAGAATTGCCTCTGTTCATCCATTTCTCTCCAGAATAAACAAATTCCAGGGAAAAAAGTAAAACACTAGCATTTAAACTTGGTTTTAACTCACAAGACCCTTTGGACTGTTAGAATATTCCTAAGCTGTTGTACCACCAGGACAGATGCCCTGAAGAAGGACTGAGCAACCTCTGCCTTCCACTCAGACACGAGCCAGACCCCACCCACAATCTACAAAAGTTTCTGGGTTTATGATGCTTGGCTACAGGACAGGATGAAATTCCTACAACTAAAGTAATCTGGAGACCAAAAGTTTCCAGAGAAGGTAGAAAATAGGTCTGAACTAGTCTGCTACTGCTAGTTCATGGTTTGTCAAGCAGTGTAAGCGTAACACTCCCAACTGAGCTCAGGGGTCATACTCGGGATATCCTGCAGGGAAACCACCAGGTCAGGTTCTTGGAACCTCACCTGCAGATCCACCAGAGAAGCTCCATGGATGCTGACTATCAGATTACAGGAGATTTAACACTACATCCCAATATTTGTGAACTGCCACAATGTTCGTTTGCTGCACTGCATGACCAGATCTTAGCACTGCAGTTTCATTTGCCCACAAAGATTCCAGCTGAAAACTCCCTTTAACACAGCTTTAATAATACATGAAAGAGATTAATCTCTAATTGTTGATTTTTGAAATAGCACTTCATTGTGTCACTCAATCTGAGTGCTTTTGATCATTAAAACTTGCCTGATTTTTCCATCTTAGTAAGGAGGTTCTGCTCAGCTGAGAGCTGATCTCATCAGAGCCAATTATACTCCGTGGCAGAGATCAGACCAGGGCTCTCAAGGGTTTTAAAACTTCAGGTTTATTTTCCTTATTTTACTGAACAACGCAAAGTTCAAGCAACCTTGTTAGAACCCTGAATATCCAGGAACTCTCATGTAAACTGGATGCCTGGCAGGAAACCACCAGTAAAAAAGTGAACAAAAATGCATCACTGACTTGGGTTCTTTACTCCTGGCTCTCAAGTGAATAATTTCTCGTGCCTTTTTCTCTGTCAAAGGGCTTCTTTCAAAATGCATGGGGAGTAATCTCCTGACCTTATCTAGCATGAGATATGTAGTCTATTTGACTTAGATTAAATGGGAGTATCTCAAAATTATCAAACAACCTCTTCAGGAGTGTGAGATTTCTACCAGCTGAGAAAGATAACAAGCTGTGTAAGCTCAGAGACAGATATGGCTCCCATCACATCACTTCCACATTACCACAGCCTCCTGAAAGATTTGTATCTCATTTTAAAGAAAGTTATGCAAGATACACTTCCTCACAGAAATTCTTGATTTCCATCTTATCCCTTCAGTGGCACCTACATCCCAATGACATTTAGAAAGGAATGGAAACACTGAAGCCCTTGCTATGTTTTGCATTCCTTTCTTTTGCTGCACCCTTAAGACACCTCTTTGCTCTGCACTGTAATCAACCCCAGCCCTGAACTGATGGCATTCCCCTGACATTGGTTGGGAGACGTTTCCTGCAGCTCTCCCAGCAGGATGGCACTGCAGCCTCTGAGGGTACATCAGTATCTTAAATCTTGCACTGATTTACTGTGCAACAATGCACCAATGAAAATGAGTGTTTGGACATGAGACCAGAAACTATCCACTGTAAAGGGAGTCTGTAAATAGATTAGATCCATCTACACATTAGGAACAGCCTGCACTATGTATCAGGATTAGCTTGCATATCATCAGTCAGAGCTTCACTGTGGACTGAAGCCCTAAATGTGTGTAATTATGACACCATCACTGACTATCAGCACATCTCCAAGGATCTCAGACGTGGCCTCTCTTGTTGCCCTCGTTATCAGCAATGCAACTGAAACACAAAGAAGTCGATTTGATCACGGTCACAAAAAGAACACAATTCACAATCCCACATCCCTGGATCTCTCCACTGAGTCACACTGTCTCCTTAGACTCTCCAAAATTCTGGAAGTGATGCAGGGAGAGTTTAAAATTCATCTTCTGAGGAACACTCAGGTAGTTGAGGGTATTCCTGAAGGTGAGGGTGCCCTGGGAGCTGAGAGGGTGGCACGGCAGCAGTTGCCATGGCAATGGCTGAATCTTTGCAGTGACATTGCACACACACTTCAAATCAGAACCTGTGCAAGTCTCCAAACACCACCCAATGCTGTAAGAATTCTGACGAGATCCCAGATCACCTCCTCATCTCCAATTAAAAGAAGTACCATGCAGGGAATGCAGACTGTGAAATATTTCACCTCTGCCAGACCTGAAATACAGAAGGGCAGCGCAGAAGAATTTTTCTATGAACCTCCTGATTTTGGAACACTGCAAGTCCTGCTCGCTACAGACAGGGAGGAATATTGTGTTCAGGGGGAGACTCTCAGTGAAGCAAAACCCTCATTCCCTGCCATCCAATGGCAGAGGTGCCAGGGAAGGGCACTGGGGGTGCTCAGGACCTTCCCCAGTGCACTGCACAACTCCTCCCAGCCAGCTCTGCTGCAGGGGGGCTGCAAATGGAGCTGGAAAGAAAGAGAGCACGTCCTCCCCCCTCTCTGGAGTTACAGTCACCTGACACCAAACCAGACAGACCTCTACAGGATTCCACCAATTCAGCATGTTTGTATAAAAGCTGGTTATATCCACTATAGAACACCAGATAACAGCATGCACCCACACATCCATTATTATATCCACACCCATTATTGCAATTAACTGACTACAAAAGAAGGAGATCAGCCTGATCTGCTCACGTCTCAAGCCCCTTTAAGAGTCTGCAGCACCCAGGCTCCTCGTTACTCCCCAAAGCACCAACAGGAGCATTACCTTTGGCTGCTTCAGCTCGCTTAGGCAAATCAAGTGTATCAAAATTCCTGTCCAGATCTCCATTCTTCTTTCCTGTGCAAAAAAAACAGAAGACAAGATATGGAAAGGACTGTCAGCATACTGACAGGTAAGCTACTGTCATGTGCATCTCTGAGATGAGAGAAGATACAGAGCCAGAATACAAATCACAGACCATCACCCAGCCCTGTCTCTGACCTGCAGTCCAACTGCACGGCTGTGCTTTTGTGGGAGCAACTCAGGGACAAAAACCTGTGCTGCTTTCAGGTTCATCTGCAAACGTGCTTAGGAGCAGCACTTCAGTGGGTCTGAAGAGTGCTTAACATCTTGGAAATTTGTGCCATTTCCCTTGGCAAAGCTGTGCCTCTCCCTCATCAGCCCAGTATTTGTTATTTTCACAGAGGAATTTAGAAGCCCAGCTGAAGCAAAAACTCAGCAGCAGAGCAAAACCAACAGGCTTGCTTTGCAGCCTCTGTTCTCCATGCAACTCCCAGGCAGGAGGATTTAATATATTGTACAGACAGCAGCCAACAACTTAACCTTGAACTGCCCTTCAATCAATAAAAGTGTCATTTTTACTATTTATTAGAAACTAATGGAAATATTCCATACTTTTGCTAAGAAACAGCTTTAAACTATTACATCAGCTTTAATTTACACAATCCTTCCCAGAAAGCAGAACAAAAGCAGGACTTCAGTGTCAGCTGGGCTGAGGATTCAAGGTCAGGTGAAGAGCTGGGGAGGGAAGGGTTGGTTTTCATCTCTTCTTGTCCCCCAAGGAGACACAGTGCCCTGGGTAAGGCCTCATGGCTGCTGTGGTTATGATAAGCACCTGGCCATCAGAGGAGCACTGGCAGCAGAGACAGAGATCTGGAGGGCACTGCAGGAAACTGCATGGCTTCTGAACACAGCACTGAACAATTCAGCTTTCCCAAACCATTCTGAGGGGGGAAAATCAAGGTATTTAGTCCCTCCCCCCCAAGAGCAGGGAAGGCAGGTGCAATGGGATGAATTCAGACAACACAATTTGAAGCAGCCAGAAGTGGCTCCTGCACAGGGACTGCACCAGGCTGGTAATTGGGGGGTTACAGAAAGGGCTGAAAGCTCCACCAGTCAGGATGCCTAAAAGCACACAGGAAAATGATCCTTGAAAATGGAAGGGGGAGATCAGTCTGCTTCTTGGCTGGTAGGAGGTCACAAGGTGGGAAAGGCCAGTCCCTGCCTTGCCATGGCAGGGGGGTGGCTGGTACATGCACAGTGAATTCAATGGTGACAAAAGGATAAACACACAGGGGACAGTACAGGGGAGAATCAGAGCTCTTAAATACCAATATGAATATTTAGAAATAACATCAGGAGGAAAAAAAAACAAACCCTCAAGGTAGTATTCCATCTACTCCCTTTCTTTGGGAGGGGATGGAATCACAGGCTTTTGTTTTGAAATGCCAACACAACACCAGCCAGCATAACTACTGTGCAAACCAAACCATGCATCTAGAATTTCTGCTCATCTGCAGTAATTTCCTTAATGAAAGCATGTCAAAGCCCATCTAAGCTGCCAAAAGGTCATGCAGCCAGGTGCCATGTGCCACTCCTCTGAAAGCTGCCTTTTGTGAAGGAAGGGACAGGAATCAGAGGCACTTTGCAGCCTTCCATCGAGGTTTTGCTCCATGAAAGAACGAGAAACATGTTGCTTGGGGAACCAAATACCAGAGAGAAAGGATGCTGCACATCACCAAAGGATGGTGCATTTCATTATGGCAGCTGAACCCAGTTACTGGCTGCAAACTCCTGTTGACCCTTAGAGCACTGACAGGAAAAAGCAGGGCAGAGGGAATTAAAACAAAAAAAAAAAAGCACTGAAGGAAGGAAGTCAGTGTTTAGGAAAGTTTAGGAAAGATTACAGACTTAAGGCAGACCAATAAATGTGACTCCACCTTATCTACAAGTAGGACAAACTGTTTTTTCACATGACCCCAAATTTCTGGTCTCTGGCACTAGACAGTTTAAACTTCAGAACATGCACTCAGCCAGCCAGATCTTACTCAACACAACTCGTTGCAGAAGTTCTCTCTGTAATTTAAGGGCTGGGTCTGGCACTTGTACCAGCCCTGCAGAACTGAGATGGCACAGTAAGAATTCCCCTCTTCCCAGTGGCAGTGTTTAGTGGGGACTGTGTGTCTGTGCACAGCTCATTAAGGAACAGGTTGTCCAGGAGTGCAGTGTTGGCTGCTACGTCTTTGGAGCTGGCAATGCCAAAGCAGCTGCTCATTTACTGACCCATCTTTCATTAAGACAGCACCTTCCCCCTGTGCTCTCCTCAGTGCCTGCCTCAGTTGCTGGGCCAGGCTGTGAACACGGCCCGGGCTCCCCGAGCCTTTGCTGTTTGTGTCTCAGCCCTCTCAGCAGCTCACCTGTCTGTTCAACCAGAAGCTGCCAGCTGTTCACCCCAGTTCAGAACACAGAGCTCTGACCCAGGGGATTTCAACTCTCCTTGCTTCATCCACTGGAGGAAGGTCTGGGCTCAGAGATCCCCCAGACACCTTCGTTTTCCAGAGCTTTCATACAGACAGAAGGTGACCAAGCTGTAAGAAGACTCCAAAACAAATCCACCCAGAAAGGCAAAGGTTTCAATCTGCAGCCCAGCTGGCACTTCTCCCATTTGATTTTCACAGGGACCACAAACACTGGAGTTTCTAAAAAGGTGACCAAATTCAGCAAGTTCAAGGGCCTACTGGTTCCAAACCTGTCAGCCATCCCCACGCCAGCTGACAGCACCAGAGCAGCTTCACTGCCAGACTCTGCAGCTCTGAACAGGCTGCTCTGCCCCCCAGGCCTGCTGGCAATGCCCCTGCTGGCAATGCCCCTGCTCTGTTCCCAGCAGGGATGGGGACACACACACAGCCCACGGGGCTGACACTGCCCGTGCAGGGTGTGCATCCCCTCAGGGACACACACACACACACACAGCCCACGGGGCTGACACTGCCCGTGCAGGGTGTGCATCCCCTCAGGGACGCTCAACAGCCACGCTGTGCAGCACCAGAGGAGTTTAAGATCCTGGCTGTGGACATCTCAATTTCTACCCCTGGCTGCATCTCCAGGTTCTCCAAGGTCTCCAGCCCAAGGTATGCCAGAGAAAAGCCGACGCTGTTGGATCAGAAGCACAGCTCCAGACTCTGCCAGGAGACAGACAGAGCTCTGAACACCCCTGACAGGTCTGTTTTATGAGACCTGGCTGCAGGAACTGGCACAGCACACTCTGGTTTGGGAAAATTGCCTGGCATGAGACTTGCTTGTGCAAGATGCAATTGCCAGTCTCTGAAACAGTGGGACTAAAATTCCTCCCCTCTCGCCCCTGGCTACTTTTCATTATGTAAGAAACAACCAAAACACGACCTTCGGCATTTCCGATCTGTCAGAAACTCAGCCCAGACTCTGGAGTGTGACCCAGCGTTATTAACCACTAAATGTTGCTGCTGATCGTCCTCAGCTGTCATTTGGCTTTACAGGATAACCAAACCAGCTATGCAGCCAGACTGCTTTAGCTGAAGGACTGATTCCCAAATGCTTTCTTTCTGGTTAAAATAAAAGTTCTAAGGGAAAATGATTCTTCTTAACAGCTCCTTTACCCCCCAGTCAATACTGTGCTTGTTAATACACCCACTGAACTGACTGTGGCAGAGAGACAGAAGGCACGGGCTGAGCTCTGTGTTGCCAACAAGCTCCTTCTCCACAAGCTCACCCGTCACAGTCTGAAATCAGCATCTCACAGAGCAGTACCAAGCACCATTTGTTGGGTGGAGCAATTATTTTGTTTGTTTTATTTCTCTCCAATGTTCTCCTTTGGCTCAACCCTCCAGAACCCACGATCTGAAGCGTCACAAGCTGCCAACGCCCCTGCCTTCACCCCCAAAACCAATCTCAGTGACATCTCCAGGGCACTCACAGCCTATCAGCTTCCCAGCTGAGGAGGCAGGGAAGCTTTAGCCTCGAGACCTGTGTACTCCAGCTGGATTTTACTATGCTGGGATGAGAAACTAAAGGGCAGAGCCACTCTGGATGTGCCAGGGGTGCCCAGAACAGCCAGCAGAGCCACTCTGGATGTGCCAGGGGTGCCCAGAACAGCCAGCAGAGCCATCCTGATGTGCCAGGGGTGCCCAGAACAGCCAGCAGAGCCACCCTGATGTGCCAGGGGTGCTGAGGGGAGGCACTCCCTGGCTGCTCCCTCCCGTGTGGGGTTGGCAGCCCAGCTGCACAGCAGGCCCCTCGTGCACTCACACCAGCAGTGAGTAAAACCCTGTGATTTCTGGTCTTGGTGTGCACAGACCGAGCTGCCAGAGCTCCCTCAGGACTTCTCTGCCTGCTGAAGTGATCAGGAGGATGTGCCAGGGGGGCAGAGGGGAAGGTGGATGAACAAGACCTTCATCTCAGCTCTTAGCCTTGCGTGGGAAAGCTGAACAAAGCACATTATGGTGATGATGAAAGAAAGTATTGCAGACTCACCTTGATTGAACCACTCCTCTAATTACCAGAAAAGCAGCAAAAGGAAAACAAAAATTTACAGGATGAAGAAAATACAAAGGAACAGTCACAAAGAGGCAGAATTTCACAGAATAGGTTCAAAACCTGAGTATTACAAGAATACTATAGAAGTTTTATCAATTAAAAAACCCAAATCAAAACAAGATATTCCACTTTCTCCTTTTTGTTCCTGCTGAAAAACCCCCAATCTTTTTCTGCACCGTTTTTTTTTTTTCTTTCTTTCTCTTTTCAGTAAATGAAAAGGTGCTCACAGAATCGAGGGGAAAGAAGGATGACTAGCCCTTTGCAAAGGTGTTTGAAATGCTGTGATCAATGGCCATGAAATAAAATAAACATGGAAACACTGCCAGATCAAGTGAACAAGAAGGGAGAGAACCGATCTATTTTAGTCCTAGGCTGAGAAAATAAAGGCAGGTTCAGACCAGTACTCACATACATTTAACAGCAAGACAACGGAGCTTCTCTTTATGATTTTAAAAGCTCATTTATGAATGGATTTTAATTTTTACTTTGTAAACACAACAGTCATCTGTTACCCTCTACCCTTCTGACCTACATCCTACCAGCTGTGAGCTCAGCATTATCACCTTCCCTCTGGGGAACAGCACATTTTAAAAAGAGCACTGCAAAAAGGGGGGAAACATTAAAATATTCTTTGGAAATTGTAATTTCCTGCTGAACACACAGAGACAAACCCAGGCTGTCACTGAGTGCCTGCGCTGCCCACTGCAATCCCCAGGCTCATCCTCAGCATCAGATGATTTTGAGGCAAATTTGTCCAAACAGACAGGACATGATGCTTCAGATGCTGACCAGAGTCCCTGGGCCTGCAGACACCGAGGGGGTCTGTCCAGGTGGGCCCAGAGGCAGCAGATATTGAGCCAGGACAGTCACCTGAGAGCTGCTCTGCAGTGCCATCGAGGGGACGGTGCCAGCCCTGCCCCAGCACACCCCTGCTCCCACAGGGCACACCCAGCTCCTGTGTCTCAAACTCTTCCCACTGCCTGATGCTCTGGGGCAGCCAAACCCCAGGGAGTGCAGGTGGCAGGGACAGGCTGGGCCCAGCACATGCAGGGTTTCCAGAGGGTATGCAGGTTCAGCCACTCTCTGGGAGAGCAGCCTGGCCAGCCAGGCAGTGCCATTTCTTTGGTTCTTCCCCCACTCATTCAAAGATTCCCATCAATTTTTTATTTTTTTTCCTAAGAAGCAGATTAAATCTAACTGATGACAGACTAGTCTGCAAAAGCAGGTTCCCAGTGTGATGACCTCCCTAACACACATAAACACGCAGCACTTTACCAGCACACAGGTCAGATCACAGCAAGAGTGGTGTGCAGCACAGTCTGTCCAGCCCAAACAATCCCAGGTGGGCTCTTTAGGGCCAAAACCCCTTCTAATACCTGGCTGTGAACAATAAGCCAGGATGTGTGGACACATGGATGAGGAGAATGAAGCCGAGACAGGAAATGGAATTAATTTATCTCTGAATTCATCTAGAACAGTCATTTCTCTAAAACAACAAAGAGCACAGAGCTCAGTCTAGAATAGCAGTTTCTCTAAAACAACAAAGAAAACGGATATAATTTGAGTCTCTTTGTGAAGGAAACATTGAAGGGGGTTTACTGAGACTATTAATCCTCTCTTAGAATGAAACTCATTTGCAACACTCATGCCCCAGAGGAGAGAACAGGTCTAAAAGTGAATGACAATTAAAAGCTACAAAATCATGTTTGCAATTTAAATCACTGACAGAGTGACTGAATTGGGAGGTTTACATTTTGGCTGAGTGGGAGGGTAGGCTTCTATTTGTTTTCCAGTATGAGCGACTGGAGGCATGGAAGATGTCCAGCCAGGCATGCCATGCACAGGGATGGATGGATGCATGCTGGCCTGGCTGCCTGAGCCTGGGACACAAGCAACACAGCCAAGCAAGTGGGCTAAGCACAGATCTGACAGATGTAAGAACACAGGAAGGCACAGGGGAGGCAGAGCACATCCACCTTTCTCCAGCAGCAGAGTGTCACCTGCCAGCATGCACCACTCCTACTTCAAACCAAACCAAACTACATCGATGGGGGAACAATAATCCCAAATATTTAGTAGTGATGCAACACGGGGGACAAACACATGCCATGGCACTGCAAACATGTACCTGCACACACTGCAGCACTCCAGCCCAGCGTGATGAATGTGCAGCGAGAGCAGGACTGCAGCATTTACCCCACACCCGCTGCCAGCTCTGAGCCCTCTGCAACACATACCTTTAGCTTTTTTTCCACCAAAACAACCAGCATCATCTTTCTTCTTCTTCTGAGAGCCTCCTGTGCCTGTGCTCTGCCCAGCATCAAGTTCTTGGTACTTATCAGCTCCGGGGACCTCTTTGTGGACGTGATAGGAAAGGTTCCTCATGATGCACACACAGTTCTCCACAGACTGCCACAGAGAAATTTGTGTTACAAGGGTTCTTCACCCTCTTACAAGCCATTATACTGTACAGTGGAGGGTTTGGAGGAAATGAAAAAAAACCCCACCTGTCCCAGGAAAAGAACGTGGCTTTCGAGGAAGACTTAGACAAGATCCTTAAATTAAAGTTCCTTTCTTGTTCTAAACCCAATTTTTTTCTTTGAAAAGTGAAGCACTTCATAAATAGAACCCATTCAAAATGAGAACTCTCTAATCAAAACCACCACTTGATCTAAACAAAGAACACAATTCTCCAAAAGATCAAACACACAGCAGAAAAAGATCATCTAAGGATCTTATTTTAATACAAGCCTCTCTCTCATTCTTCCAACATTTACAATCCCCAAGGGGCCCACTTTATTAAATTTTCTCTGGGTCAAAACCTAGGCCTTGTGGGGATTTCAATGAGAACACACGTTGTCCTGCAGTAACAGCTAATCCACAGCTCATCGGGCTCTGACAAGAGCAGATCTCTGTGGGTTGCAAAGGAAACCACCAGGTGGTTACAAAATCCACTTCCAAAATTACCTGATTAAGTGACAGGGCTTTATAGCTCTCCTGTACGGGCCATCACATGGTGGGACTCAAAAAGAATAAAATAATGGTGCTTTACAGGCCTTACAAAGCACAAGTGTGCTCTTTTTTTAACAGGTTAAACTTACGATGGTCCTTCTGCACACAAATACGCTTTTAAGTGCCATGGGACGAGATGATGTTAAAACCAGGTTAATAAAAGCTGCACCAGAAAGCAGGTACAGTGAAAGTGCTGCAGGTCTGAAGGCATTTCTGAATGTCTGTGCTCTGCAGCCTTTAGAGGTGGTGCTGAATAAAGCCTTTAAAATGGGAACTGACTCCTTTGCTGCTTCGTGCAAACGGGACTCAGTTCTGATCTGGAGACTCCACTTATAAATGCCAATTAAGTAACGCAGAACAACATCAATAATGTCCCTGACAATAAAGGACTGTTCTCCCCATCTCTCAGCCACCAGGCTCTGCTCACCTCCCCAGCCATGGCAGGAACACAGAACGTGCTGCTGGTGCCCCATCGCAGCATCACGGGTACCAGAGGGGCAGGAGGACAATGACTTGAGGCAAGCACAATCCTCTTCTGATGCCAGCAAAGACAGGCTGGATCCCAGTGCAACACTGCAACCTAAATTAAGGGAAATGTCCACCAAGTTTTAATATGCAAGCTCACCTTATTGTCTGTGTCCTTCTTGCCAACCGCAGACTGTAAAGCGTGAAGGAGGGCGTCCACCAAGCCATCACACTCCCTCAGCCTTCTGCGTGCTTCTGCTCCATCTGAACTCACATTCCTGACAGGAGAGAGGTAAAAGAGAGTTTAGCCCTGTAACCTTCACCATAAACTTGAAGGTGCATTGATTTATACTACAATTATTACGATCTCCTCACCTTGGATGAACAATTAGGAGGCAAAATAGACTGACAAACCCACTAAATCTCAGTAAAATATGGGCAGTGCACATCTGCAGCTCCCTGAACCTGAACACAAAGGGGAACACAATCCCAGAGGTGCCTACAAACACCTTTCTCTGCTTTCCTGGTGAGCCCAGCGATACACCTTAAACCGGGTCAGAGTTTTCAGAGCCAATATACAAACCAAAAATTTAATTTCGAGGCCAGTACTTCTGATCTGAAAAATACTTTTGCTACTTTAGGAAAACAAGCAAAGTCCCAAGATTGCTCAGCAATATTCATGGCCACAGAAACTGAAAACGCCACGTGCAGCAGATCCAGCACAGAGCCTGGCTCAGCCACACTGAGTACGTAAAGATGACATTTCACATGGTTTTGAATCTCTCAAAATGTTGCACAAGAGAATGGCACAGGCAGAAGACACAAGACAGAGTGAATGGCTGCTGGGAGTTGTTAAAGAGGCACACATCAGTGACTGCAGGAACGCTCAGAGGGGACCTCTGCACTTGGCCTCACCTGTCCAGCAATCATGCAGCACTGCACACCAAAGCCTCAGGCTTGCACAGGCATCAACCTGGCACTACCCAATAAATAAATAAATAAATAAAATTCAAGTCCAGTCCTTTTTCTTTCTTGAGGGGAAAAAATGAAGTGACAAAATTACTCCTAAGAGTGCTTGCTGAACAAACCTCCATGGAAGGGTCTTCTCAAAGCTGGGACGCAGTAACTTTGACGATAACACAGACAACCCCTCAGGGCCCCTCAATCCCACACCCCCGGGTAAGGTTTGTTCTCAACAGCTCAGGACAACATCATCACCTTCTGTTATTAGGACTGGGCAGCCAGTCTAACTAACTAGAGGGACTGCCAATCTCCAAGCAATTAGCAAATCAATCCTGGTCCCCTCCCGTGTCCCTGGGCAGCCGGGCAGGCTGCTGTGTTAACTGGAGAGCAGGAAACCCCACATCTTCTTACAGACCCTGCAAAAGCTGAAGGCACTGAACTGGGAGCTGCTTGCTGTAACAGCACATTAACTTTCAATTAAGAACACAAATGAACTGCACAGATAAATGAATCCTTTCCCCACATCCTAACGCAGCCTCACCTCCAGCAATGGCTGATAAAGGCAGGTAAAGTGGATATTAAAATGATTCCACAGGATATGTGGAAGAGAATTCTACATGCTGTTTTCCCATCTCCAGCTGCACTAATCCCTTTGTATGAAAAACACAACTGTGAATTTTAATGTCAAGTCTTTATGAAACTGGAATTAGAATTCAAATTCTCTGTGATACCTTTCAGGAGTTATAACAATAAATGATAGCAGCTCCACCTCCAAGCACATCTGCTAACACAGAACATTACTTATTAAGCTTCAGGGTGACAGAAACGCACTATAACTGGTCTTATCTGGAGCTCTGGATCACATTTTTTATTGCCTCATTAAGTCTTAAGAAATAGAGAGTTAAAATTCATAAGCAACACTTGCAGACTTTAAAAAAGAAATCAAATTTAGAAAAAAAAGGCCAACTTTCACACCTTCCTTGCCCCACGGCCCAGCCACAGGAGATTTTTCTGTGGTCCATTTGTGCCACCACACTTGTAGCACATTTGTTTTGCTACTCTGGTTATCAACAGCACCACAGTATTCTGTACCCTGCCTTCTTATTTCTTGATCTGTACTGGGATTAATATTAAGGTAGACAGTGATATGGTTATAATTGAAAAAGATATTATAAACTGCATCAGCAAGAGTGTGGCTTGCTGATATCACTTACTGTCTCTAACTGCAGAAAAATTTACTGAGAATTAATGCCTCGAGAAAAAATTTCCGCATATATCACACATAAGCAAGCATGAAAACTCTGCAGGATCAAGTGAAGAGCTAATTAAAGCTACGGCCAAATGCAGACATCAAACTTTGCAGTTTTGATGTTGTAACTAACACTTCAGAAAACATATTCTTAGGAGAGCATCTCATGCAGAAACAGCTGCTCTGGAAACACCCAACTCCTGGGACTGGGTCAGTCCTCCCTCCTCGATAAATGACATTCCTGCAGCCCAGGGGACTCAGCCACCACGGAGGAACAAACCCCATTTCCTTGTGTGTAAGGACTCTGAACTATCCTTGAGAGACAGCACTCGGTAGTCATCAGTCAGATTCCCATTTCAGATTGCCATCAGGAGGGGTTGCAGCATGGAGACACAGGGATGACACGGGTCAGAGGGCCACTGCTGGCACTGCCACCAAAGGGGACAGAAACAGCAAAGGAACAGCCAACCTGGTACTGCACCCACTGACCACAGCCAGAAAAATCAGCATCTGCACTGGCATTGTTCCTGGTGCATCTTACAGATCTGGTACACGTGATGGAATGAAAGATGGAACTAAACCACCTTCCAAAGCAAACTGTCAGAGCAAGGTTTCTAAACATCCCCCTCCCCAGAGGGAGGGAAATCACCAGAGGCAACCAACGGTTCCCAGGGGATGTGCAGGACCTCACCCAGGGCACACTCCACAGAAGGAATGCACAGCCTCACCCAGGCCACCAACTCCAGGAAACTCAGGCAACAGAGACGCAGCAGATGGCATCCAGACCTGGACAAAGCAGAGGGGTTTGCTTTTCACTCAACTTTCCTACCCACTGGACAAGTATTGCTGCACACCAGAAGAGAAGCAACTCGGCAGTGGAAGGAGCGTTTCACACGAGAGTTTCACACAGACACTGAACACAAAGGAGCCCAGAGCCCAGCTGAGGTGCTGGGAACTCTGTCACTGAGGGCCAGGCTGCCCTGCAGCAGCTGCAGGGGCACACGGATTTCAGAATTAAATGAGCTCAGTGAGTCACTTGCTGGGGCAGTTCAGTATCTGAAACCTCTGCAGACTGAAGTCAAAGATACTTTAAAGTCTGAACAACTCGAAGAAGGAACTCTGCAGGGCCTTCAAAGCACTGATGATGGGCAAAATCCTGTCAAAAATGAAAATAAAGTTGACTGCCTGTCCAAATGGGTGGGGATGGTGAGGAGGAACTACCCAAACTGTTTTTACACAAGCCAGTGACAAGTGAGACCTGCCACTCACCCCTGGTGTTCTGTACACTCTGCTTCCCTTGCCTTGTCTCTTCACCCCCAGAGCAGCCTCTGCTGCCTTCCCTGACCTCCCCTGCTTTTTAATACTATTCCAAGAGTTTATGAAATGAAAAATGTATTGTAAAAACAATATTGTCTGTCTTATGTCACACTGCAGAGGACAGTAACAACCTTCACAGTGTGTTTACTGTAAATATACACAACACACACTGAAGAACAACTCTAGGAGTAAAAACCACTGAATTACTGCCCCTGTGACTCAAAGCACCCAGGAAGGAAACCAAATGTACGACTGATTTCATGTAAAACAGTAAAGCACAAATCTCATTCCAGAGATTTTCAATTCCCAGTCTTTAGCTGGAAAAAGGAACCTGGATTCTTCCTCAAATTCTCAAGAGTCCAGTCGGTAGCCAGGACTAGCGAAAGAGGATTGGTGAGGATGTTAAAATATATGCTTTCCCTGGGGAAACAAACCAGAGAGGCACTAAGTAAATGTTAAATAAAAGTAAATAACTACCAGCATAGAAACACATCAGGCTAAGAATCCAATCTGTTGGTATTAAAGACTTCAGAAAATGGAGGGAGAATCTGGTGAGGAATTTGTTCCTGCCTTAGATAAACTTCTCATTATCATCAAAGAGTCATCTTAATAACACGCAATTCTGAATGCCACACTTCCATCTGCAGAACAGAGCTGGCATTTACCGCCCCTAGGACAGGTGAGCTGTTGCTACTCTCTGTGCCACACACCAAACTTATCTTCAGGAGGAAGAGATTTAAAAGTAATTAGATAGATGGTACTTAATTTGCACTGTTTCAGTGCAGTCATGTGGCAGTGCCCCCTCTGAGCTCCCCCTGCCATCTGAAAGGCAGAGGAGACACAGAGAGATTCAGGGTTGGGGTTTTTTTGGTGATAAAGAGAAACTTGAAAATGCAAGCACCAGAGACACATTTTTCTCTGAGCATTAAACCCAGTATTTCCAAGACTACTGCTGAGTCTGCCACTTGGCCCTCGGAGAGGTCTATCAGCTGCTGTGCTAAGTGCTGCAGATGAAGCTGGATGCTGGAGTATTCTGACCACCCCCTCTCCCACCTCAGTTCAGCAGGTGTAAACAGCAAAGTGTTTAAAGATCTAGCTGGGAACAAAGACAAGGGGCCAGAGCCTTTGGTTTTTACATACACAGGAAGCTGAACAGGAGTTTTTGAAGACAACCTCCCAGTAACACTTGCCCCTTTCCCTGGAGGAGCTGTGGCTGAGAGCTGAAGCTGGGACAGGGACGAGCTCTCCTCTCCCAACAGCCCCTCTGTGCACGTGGCAGGGTCTCAGACTGCCCACAGGAGTCCTGCTTCTTACTAAAGAACCTTCTAACAGCTACCTTTGTACTGCTTGGACTGTCCACCTATTCTGACAGGCAGAACCCTTGCTGTACAAACACCCTTCCACACCCACACTTCGCTGCAACTATCAGGGAATTTTTATCTGGATGCCAGCCAAGGGACACTGATCAATAATAGTTGTAGTAAATGTGCTCTATTTCCGAGTGCATTTCTAGGTCCAGCGTGTCTCAAAGGAGGAATATACAACATTTAAAAAGCATTCCATCATTTCACGCAGAAACAGAATGAATTCCATACTTCAGTTCACCTGAAGTACCAGAAAGCTTAATTGGTACTGAGTTCATTGTTCTGAAAACAAGAGAGAAAAAGAAAAGCAGCAGCCTGTGACACAAAGAGAGCCTGATCCAGGCAGCACCGGTCAGAGGGCTCCGTACAGCACAGTGGAGTCTGG